TGAAGGATTTTAACAAGCCTTGATGCAGAAAATAACAAAGCACGAGAAATTTTCTGTCAAAACTTGATGAACACAATAAAGCAGAAATGAATATGAGTTATACCATGGATTTGATTAATTGTGGAATAATGTATGTATTTCTTGTTTGTAATTATGTTTATATTGATCATTCATCACTTATTTATAGGTCTCAATCAATACATTACGAAATGGTGCCAAAACAAGATAAAAAGTGACAACTTTTAATCCAAAACGGCTCCCAAGTTTCAAATTGAAAAATCAGCCAATGACTATTTTTTAACACTATGCGTATGCATAGTATAAACCGTGCATACACATAGTAGAAGTAAAATCAATTCTGATTTTGCCAAAGCACATTTCGCGTACGCACAAAAATAAGCCTGTGCGTACGTATAGGCAAAAATCAAAATTTTTCATTTTTTAATTTCTTTTGATTCTATTAATTCCACAATTGAGTTCAACAATTAGTCCATTATCATTCCATTGATTTTGAACAAATATTCAACAATTTCATAAATTAATCTTAACCGTGTTCACTTAGCTCTAGGAGCAAATAAGCCCACGAATTGTATGGCTACTTGTAAGGTTGGTCGGGGAGCAGGGGGACTCCTCCCTACTAAACCATCAAGGCATGAGTCGTATATTGACAAAGTTACATCTCTACTCAATTCAAGATAAAAATAAATAAGAAGGGTAAGGTCTTTCCTCAATTCAAATTTATGAAAATTTTTATGGGGAAACAATTTCATACTATGGAGCCTTTTCTTCTGTGAAAGCTTATAAAAATGTGTAGCCAATCTTTAAAACATTCCAAACAGAATCTTCTATGGGTGTCTTCGTGCAATGGATCAAGTGTCCCATCCGATCAAGAAAAGGTGAAAAAAATATAACAAACGAATTCTTTTCAAAATGGCATCTCAGAGTTGCCTCCGTTTGGCCCCCATTTTTTGGAAATAAAAATGGGTGAAATAATATTTTTTGAATAATTAGTGGTTGAAAAAGAAGGAAAATTTTTCGATTTACATTTAATATTATTTTATGAAAGATTGTGTGATTGAAAATAGGAGGAAAAAATGGAATGTAATGAAATGTAATTTAATGAGTATCAAACGAGAGTTGGGCTCTTCATCTCCCTCACCCTTGTTTGAGCATTTTTTTTTTATTTTTTTTTTATCAAAATACATTTTTAATTTGACTTCACTTCAACTACACATTTTTTAATAAAATAATATTACACGCAATTTCATAATTTTTTTATTTTTTAACCACGCGTTTCCCATTAATACATTATTTAAAAATACATTTTTTGACAAGAATATGAATTAAACAAGGGCGTAAACTACTGTTTCAAAATTACCAATGGGACTTTTTGTCAATTTATCTTACAATAATTTTAGCGTCGTCAACAAGAAAACAAAAGGTCAACTAAGGCACTCCAATAATAGAGTCGAGAAAGGAGCGAAAGTCAATTGGCAAGTATCTACTTGATCTTGGGAGAGTTGAGTTAAAATATTAACATTAGTTTTATCTTAGTGCTTGTTCGGTAAGAATTTTATTAATTGATTTTTTGACTGTTAGAAATAAAGTGAGTTCTACTTGTGAGAGAAGAATTTAAAAATGACGGTTAGAATAGTGAAATAACTGTCAAAAAATTGATATTAATTGGATTAAAATCTCTACCAAACATGCTCTTAAAATGTCATTTTATATTTTGAATTTTCATCTTTATTCGGTATAAAATTTATCTCTGAACACTAAAGATCCGTTTGATTGCAAAGATAAAATTGAATTGAATTTAAAACGAATTCCAGGGAATTAAATTGCCTAGAAATTGTTTTTTTGAAAATTGTAAATTATTGTGTTTGGTTGATATAATTTTTTTACATGAAAAATGTTAAAATAAAAGTGTTTTTTGGTGTTCGTTTGACTTTATTTTACATAAAAATTGTCAATTAAAGGAATAGATTTTACTGGTATTGAGAATGAAAATTGTTTTCATTGCCAACAAAAAAAATTCAAGAAAATCATCTATCTTTTGGTATTCGTTTGGCTTTGTTTTACATGAAAATTATCAATTAAAGGGAAATATTTTTTTACAATAATTCTTAAAATTCGTTTTCATTTCAAAAAAAAAAAAAAAAAAAAATGTCAATCAAAATATGTTCCTTCATTCCCTGGAAAAAAAAAAAAAGGTCCCTATGTTTGACCCTGTTTGTTTAGCTTTTTTCCCTACAAATTGGCACATACCACAGTCCCGTTCCACCCTGTAACATTTCTGTGTTATAAAAATTGGAAAATGTCTACATGTTAAAATTTTGTGGTATCATAATAGTTTATTATGTGGCATATTTAGTCTGTCTTTGACAAATTTATAAATAGTTGTCAAACGAAGCTACTTTTGTCGAGTTATATATGTCATTCATAGCCCCCGTTTGAGCCTNNNTATTTCACAATTCCACAACTACTGTTGCTGTCATCTTGTGTCACTGGAAAAATTTAGAAAGACATATTAAATGGGTAGTCAATTTATAATGAGTCAATTTAAAATGAGTCATTCATCTTCTCCATTGAGCCAAAAAGAGCCATTCACCATTTTGGCTCATTATAAATTGACTACCCATTTAATATGTCTTTCTAAAATTTTCCAGTGACACAAGATGACAGCAACAGTAGTTGTGGAATTGTGAAATATAATGTGTTCACAATATTTTTTCTTTATTTAACTTAATCATTTAAAGTATTTTCAGATTCATGTTGCTGCTACTGTTACTTATGGACTAAGTTGATGGCGGGAAAAAGGGGTGAAGTGGGTGAGTACAATTTTACCCTTGTTTATGGAAAGAAAAAGGTATTTTTGTATTTAATTAACAGAAAAACTGACGGAATATGGACGGAAGGACGTCCAGATCAAAGAAAGGTTGAAATGAGGGCAAAAATGCCAAAAAATGAGAGGTATGGACGTTTTCCACAATAATCTTGAAAGGTATGGACGTTTTGTGCCAATTACCCTTTAATTAACGGAAAAACTGACGGAATATGGACGGAAGGACGTCCAGCGCAAAGAAAGGTTGAAATGAGGGCAAAAATGCCAAAAAATGAAAGGTAGGGACATTTTCCACAATAGATTTGAAAGGTAGGGACGTTTTGTGCCAATTACCCAATTGATTTTCCCACAAAAGCAAGAAAATTGCACTTCCCAATAAAACCAAGAATCTAAATTCCATAGAAAGCTAAACCCTATCAAACAACTAAAAGTTGAAAAATGCAAGGTAAATTCCATTTTCCACGAAAAAAATTAACCAATCAAACACTAGCTAAGTACTTACATTATGAAAAATAATTTAGTTTACATATATGCGTGTTATCATAATTTAGTTTCCACAAGGCAAAATTTATAAATTAATAAAAAATATGATCAAACTTCTTGTTCAATCATAATAGACCCACCAATTTGTTTCTCATTTTTGTAAAAATGAGATATTCGTTATAGATCTCATATAAGAGATAGAAATTTAAATTTGGTAGCTTGATGTGATAAATAACGTTCATATTTTCCATTTTAATGGAAAAAGAATGAAAAATAAATGGGGGCTAATAAATTAAATCATAGATAAGTTCTTCTCAAACAGAGGCTCAATTCTTATCAAATTTTGACCATACGAGTCAAAATGTGATGTCAATAAGTAGTCATAGCAAACATATACAGTGTACATTGTTTGGTTCTATTTAATTTACTTTACTATAATTTACTTTTCATATTCATTTTTAACACCACATTCACACAATAAAATATTCTATACGTAAACCAAAAAATTTTCCTATTTTTTAACCACACATTCTTCAAAAATACGATTCAAAACATATTTTTTTTGAAATAAAGACCACAAAAAAATAGTTACTTTTTTATTTCAAAAATAAAAGTATCGATTTTTCTTTAAAAAATATCATTGTAAAAAAATATTGATAAGATTTCGCATCATTACAAAAAAAAGGGTTAATTTCACAAAGGTCACCGAACTTACAGAAAAATTACAAAACGATCACCGAAATTTAAAACTTTCAGTAACGGTCACTAAAGTTTAAAAAGTTTCTGAAACGGTCACTAAATTTGAAAAACACTTTTTTAGTTTTTTTGGTTACATTTGCGACAATTTTTCGCCTACTTTCAACCACTGATACCATCAAATTTTGATACCGTTGGAAAGCCCACAACGTCCTCTTCAATTACCACTCAAAATCTCTCCGTAACATCAAGGAATTCGACCGGAAAATCACCGCAAAAGTCGCCCCAAAAAATCTGAAAATCCGCCTAAATTTTTAGATTTTTGGACGACTTTTACGACAATTTTCCAGTGACTTTCGACCGCTAAGACTGCTGGATTTTGACCGTTTTGTAATTTTTCTGTAAGTTCAGTGACCGTTTGTGAAATTAACCAAAAAAAAAAAATCTTACAAAAGATAAATCACTCCGAACAACTTAAATTACTTCTTTATTTTGAAATACTTTTAACTAATAAATAATTTTTAATTAATTATCCCGTTCGAGGCAGGCTCACTATTTGACCGGTATTTTTGTCATCCCTATTTATTACACATGTCTATCCGTGTTCCAGGAATACTATTTTTTTTCCACACGAATTAGTTTACTTCGATAACTAATTTGATTAGTTTTAAATAATTAATTTATGAACCGAGCTACACATCCGAGGGTGAAAAACAGGTTTTGGATCCAGACACCATAGGTCGGAAGGTGATTGATCGGTTCAAAAAAAATAAAAAATAAAACACAAGGAAACAGCATGCAGCACCTGTTTCCAATCCCGGGATTTAAACCTAAGATGAGAAGCTTAAACCTTAATTTATTTCAATATAATTTTTACTTAAAAATAAGCTAAGCCAAACGTGCGAATTCCGACAGTTCCTTGAAGCGTGAGAACGTTTAACTTCTTTCTTATTCTGAAAGTCGCATGAAACTTGCGATTTCAGATTTTAACCTCTAAAACCCATAGCCCCCAAAACGACAGCTAAAACCCTAATTTCAGTAGTTCATTAACAGGTCTCTGTAATACTGAGGAGCTTTCACATTCTGCTCTGAACTTATACACAGTGGTTTATAGGAAAAATTACACTGTCTGTGACGGCAGCTTTGAAGTCTTCTGTGTTTTATTTTTCCATAATAATGGAAAAGGACACCTCTTTTCTATTCGCTGGTATTACATTCGACCGCAAAAAATTCGCCCACGATTTCGCCAGATTCCAGGTATGCTTATTTTTTCTTACTTTGGGGAGGATGATTGTTTCCCATATATGCTTATAGCTGTTGTGCGATGTGCTGAGTCAATGAAGAGTATGCATATTCTTTATATTTTGATTATTTAAATGTGACGGTTGACAATTCATTTTGAAATTGTTTACTGTGTAGGAGAAAAAAGAGAGTGATAATCTAGTAGAAAAGCCCAAATTGATTGAAAATGGAAATTCTGAAATAGAAGAAGGGACAACGGCACTTGTCACTAAGAAGAGGAAGAGAAAGGCACCTCTTTCGGGTAAGTTTGGCTATTTATCTTTCATGGAATTTAAAAAATATATATTTCATGCACTGTTATTGTAAGGAAAAGTTAGATGTTTTCTGTGAAAATTCCCCAACCAAGATTTGATTTTGTTTCTGTGAAATGGTAATTGGTATCTGATTAGGCAGGGAATAATGTTATTGCTGCTGTAAAATATACAAATAGTGACATTTATGTATCCCTCAGTAAGGAAATTTGAGTTGCTATGAGTAAGAAGTAAGATAAAACATAAGGGAGAAAGTTTTTATATGAATTAATTTTTGACTTCCAATTGCATTTATTTTCAGATCCAGTTAAAGGGTTCAATTTATTCAAAAGTTCAAAATCGAAAGCTGTAAATGAAGGACCTGACCAGCACGAAGATGACATTTTACAGGGAAAGAAGGAATATCATCGCCAACTAGAGGTTCCTCTCTCTCCTTATACATATATTCATTGCCATTTTAATTGTATACATATTTGTCATATATTGCTATGTACTGGCTTTTTTAATTTTATTTTATTGGAAAAGCAAGTGAAGAGAGATACTAAGCCATTTTTGTTTTCTCATTCTTATTTTTGGATTTAGAGGGATGCAATTTTCCGAAAGACGCATAATATTCATGTTTCTGGGAGTAATATCCCATCACCTCTTCATAATTTTGCTGAGCTGAGATCAAGGTACTCATTGGTCATTTTTTCAGTTATGCATGTGGCCTGGCTTTTTTCTGGCTACATATGTTCATATTGTATTGCTGTTTTGGCTTTGGTGACTACTGCCCTTCAATATTATTCTATTTGTCTTTTTTGGTCATATTTCTGAAAGAACTCCAGGATATAGGTTGCTTCAACCCTTTCACGTACTTGCCTTTCACTGGTGACAAGGGAGTGTTTAATGCCATCAATCACATGGCTAAATTATTCCTGACAAGTTGTTGGCAAATTTCCTTTCATCCTATTATCCATTTTAAGTGTGTGCTTTATGTTGATTTTCCCTTTATTTGTGCATTTCCACTCTTTGCATTATCATAGAGCTACTTTTCAGATCTTTTCCCTTGCCAAACCTCAAAGCTGTATGTTTCTTTATAATAAGATCACTGTGCCATGCCTCTGTCTCTCTGCAATTACATGAATTGTAGGAATTTCTTTTCATCATTGAAATAAAAAGTGATTAGCAAAACACCTCTCTTTATAGAATGTTTTGTCTTTTCTTTATCATTACTACGTGTTTTTGTAATGTTATTTTTTGGTTTTACATTTTGCCGTTATTTCGTTGCAAATGTATTTTTCTTCTTTAATTCGTCACTGCAGAAGGAAATTGCATTTTCCCTGTATTTATTTAGATCATATATTTTTAATCTAATTTGTTGCTCTCCGTGGTTCTGTGACTAAAGTTTCAGTATGTATGTTTGATCTTGAACAGATATAGCTGTAGATCATATCTATTGCGCAATTTGGCTGAATTGGGATTTAAAGAACCAACACCAATCCAAAGGCAGGCTATTCCAGTCTTACTATCTGTATGATCTTTCATTTGAGCTATTCTTTGTTATATTTCTTTTTATTTTTTGTCATTTTGCAGCACTGGATGGATCTGTCAATTTCAGTGATTATTTACAAATTTTTCCAGGGAAGGGAGTGTTTTGCATGTGCTCCAACTGGTTCTGGCAAAACCTTCGCGTTTGTTTGTCCAATATTAATGAAACTCAAGGTATTGAAAAGACACTTTAATTTTATTATTCCCGTCTGTGTGTGTGTGTGTGTGTATGTGTGGGGTAAGAATCATTTTTCTGAAGTATACTGCTAAACGATCATGCACGATCAGAACGCTTCGAAGGATGGTGTTAGGGCGGTAATTCTTTGTCCTACACGTGAATTAGCTGCTCAGACGGCAAGAGAATGCAAGAAACTGATTAAAGGAAAGAAGTTTTATATCAAATTAATGACTAAGCAGCTTGCTAAAGGTGCCGACTTTTCAAAGTTCCCCTGTGATATACTCATATCAACGCCATTTCGTTTGCAGTATGCTATTAAAAAAAGAAAGCTCGATTTAAGCAAGTAAGTTACCTATTCTCTAGTAAGTGCAATTACTCTAATGCCAGTGTATTACTTGCAGTCATTTTAAGTCTGTTCACAAGCATCTTGCTTTATCTGAAATATTGATAGTTATTTCATGCTTGTCGTTTCCGTGTCAAGGATAGTCTCTCACATTATTACTCTTGCTGCACATCACGGAATGTTTAATAAGATGACTTCGTGAATGCATGAAATATAATAGGAATTCCTACTCCAAATAAAGTGTGCTCACTGCTCACTGGACCAGACATCACAATTGCATTGTGTTTATGGGAAGGGGTAACAGATTGAAGGAGTAAATTCTTTTAGAAATGCTTTCAAACATTTAATTGGGTTCCTTGGATTTTTGTACTGAAAAAGTATGGGTAAATCAGGTGAGAAAACAAATAGCTGAATGTTTGCCTGGATTCATTTGAATCTCCACCATATATGTAAAGTAAAACTAATTTTTCTCTTTTTTGAAGAATGATTGGCTAAAATGCCAGGATGAGAAAATTGGAAAACCTGCGTCATCATCGACACACTAAATTGGCTCTCAATTAACACGATTTTTTCCCTTGATTTTGGTAATATGCAGGGTTGAATTTCTTGTCCTGGATGAATCAGACAAGCTATTCGAGTTAGGTTTGGTAGAGCAAGTTGATGCGGTGGTGAAAGCATGCTCAAATCCTTCAATCTTGCGCTCATTGTTCAGTGCTACTTTACCTGATACTGTCGAAGAGCTTGCACGTACAATTATGCATGATGCGGTCCGAGTTATTATCGGGCGGAAGTGAGAACTGAATCTCTCTTAAGCTGTAGCACATAGGAAGTTCTTTAGTATTCTTGATTCCATTATTGGATATATTTATCCTAATATGCAAGTAGAATAATTATTTATTTTATTATTCCATTTGTCCAAAAATAATACACACAATCTTCTTGTTTCTTTAATTATTTCTTTTTATTGAAAGACTATAAATCTACATATCGTTGAATTTATTTNAAATAATACACACAATCTTCTTGTTTCTTTAATTATTTCTTTTTATTGAAAGACTATAAATCTACATATCGTTGAATTTATTTATTTATTTATTATTATTTTTTTTTGCACCCCTGATCAAATAATTACTCCAATTTTTGAACAGAAACTCTGCTTCTGAATCGATAAAGCAAAAATTGATATTTGTAGGAAGTGAGGAGGGTAAGCTTCTTGCTCTTCGTCAAAGCTTTGCAGAGGTATATTTCTTATTGGCGTGCTGAATTAATTCATTTCTTCCCGATTGGTGTGATATATTGAAACATTTTAGAACTATACTCTTGTAGTTTTTGAGTCCATTTTGTACTCTACAGAATTCCTTTGATAAAATTGCCTATAAATTGTTTTATGTGGTCATAGCTCATACTAAAATAAAAACAATTAAGTCAGGAATCCATTAAAAGGATTTTTTTCCTGAATAAGCAGTTCTTCATTCTGTGGCCAAGTGTACGTCATGAGGATTTATATCTTTTTCTCATTTTAGTTGATTGATTCCTATGATGAATTTTTGTCATTCATGCAATTTTCCTCTGTGTAGTGATCTGCTTGTTTGCTTTGATTGTTGGTGATGTTTTACGAATAATTGGTGCATCTCTGCATATAAAAAAATTGTAGTGTTGTCCCTGTTGTTAACATTATATTGAGGTAATAATTCTTTAGCAAAAAGATCATGGGAGTTCTTCTAATAAATCTGTTATATTGTTCGAGTTGCCCGTGCATAATTGGTTGATACCTGGGATTTTTCCTTTATATTTTCTTTTGTTTGCAGTGTTTGAATCCACCAGTGCTACTTTTTGTCCAAAACAAGGAGAGAGCTAAGGAACTCTACAATGAATTGAAATATGATGAAATAAGAGCTGATGTGATACATTCTGATTTGTCCCAAATACAGGTAATCTTGCCTATTTTTATACTTTTGACAGTAACCCGAACTCTACGTAGCTTTGGAACTTGCCTTGAGATATCAGTAATAGCTATTATTCTCAAGTAGTGCTAGGTTTGGACAATATTAGGTTTCAGAAATTGCTCAAAGCCTCAAACTTTATAGATAAGGACACTTTTCTAATTTGATTAAATTAAAGCCTAATATGATTCACAAGAACAAGACTCTGTTCTATTCAACTTCCAGTTGAATTTCTTGCTGAATAAACCTTCTAAGGAAGTTCTGAAATTCTCTCTTTAACAAAATAGGGAACACTTTCTTTTTGGAATTCACGGTGCTAATAGTGGAATTGAGCTAGATCTTTGTTAGAATTTATGCACAATACTGGTTTCCTTTTCCCTTTTCCCTTAGTTCTTATTGTTATTTCATTACTTTCATTTCTACTACTAGTCAAATTGAATTTCATCAATCTATATGAATTTCTGCTGACATTTCAATCAAATACAGAGAGAAAATGCAGTTGATAACTTCCGGTCTGGGAAAACATGGGTTTTGATCGCCACCGATGTTATTGCCCGTGGCATGGATTTCAAAGGTGTCAATTGTGTGATCAATTATGATTTTCCGGATTCTGCAGCTGCTTATATTCACAGGATTGGTATGCAGCCTTGAAAGTACTTCTAGCTAGTGCGGACTTGAGCGTTAAATTGCCGGCCTATTTTCTTTACCTCGAAATATCATTGATCGATTTGCTTTGGCTTTGGCTTCAGTTTGTGGTGGTTACTGAAACTTAGTTTTCTTAACTTTCAAACAGGTCGGTCGGGCAGAGCTGGGAGGAGTGGAGAGGCTATAACCTTATACACGGAAGCTGACGTTCCATTCTTGCGAAATGTAGCCAACGTCATGACTGCTTCTGGCTGTGAGGTACCCTCATGGATCATGTCCTTGCGCAAGAAAAAATGGAGGAAGCACAGGCCACAGAGGGAATCAATTTTTACCAAACTGGAAGATGAGGAAGAATAGACTATGGCTAGATGCAAGAATCGATAAGTATTTGTGCTGAGCTCTTTTTATTACTTTTCAAAAAACAACTGTTTCCTTTTACGTCTCAAGTTTCTGGCATTTGCAACACATTTGTCTCAGCGCCAGATTTCTGTTGCCAGAAATGATTGGCAGTTCATTTTTCTCATCGTTGAAAGATGAGATATCCAACTTTGCTAGCTGCCTAATATCCTCCCACCCCTCCTTTCACGGTGGTCTGCAATTTGGTCCAGAGTTCCCCCGCCCAACAAAAAAAAAAAAGGATTATATTCAATCATATTTGAGAAGAAGTGAAATTACTTCAAAGTGATTTGAACTTGCTTTTAAATTACTAGAATCGAGCTCCAAAATGAAATTGAATGAGGTCCCGTGGCTCCAGATTTTTTTGAGAATATGTGATTAAAAACTAGAAAAAAGTTGAGTTTCTGTGAAGAATATTCTATTGTAAGAATGTGATTAAAAATTAGTACGAGTAAAAAAATGTTATAAAAGGTTTGTTGTCAAACAAGGGTTGAAATGTGCCTTGGGAGTACTTACTAAAATGCTAAAATTATTTTCCACTTGCTTATTTCTGTAAGCACGATCAATAATGCAACTTCTAATTCAAAGTTTTACAGTAAAAGGAACTCCGTGTTAATGATTATACTCAGTTGAAGCTACTCGTACGTATGAATATTCAATCAATTTGCATGACTATAGCATTGCAAAAATAAGTAGCTCTCAATGGTAATAGTTCAATTGTCTATGCCTCCGTGGTTTTGTCGCCACCTTCCTTCCATAGCAGACAAAACAATATCTACAGACCAAATGCTTTCAATCATACATAGTAGTTCACTAGAGATGTATAATAAATTACACAAAAATCCATAATCACTGTACAATTTTATGCATTCATGTTGCAGAGGAAATTTTGCTTCATTTTGCTTCGTCAGGCAATCCCACAGCAGCAGAGATTGCTGTGGAAGTGTGTTCATCTTGATAAATATCAAGAGAATTTCGAAATTGTTCCTCTTAACAAAGATGTTTCCTTGAAGATTATCATTTGCCGAGAGATCTTTCTGCAATTCAAAAGCTGCAAGACAAGAAGAGAAACCATGAAAGCTGCTTTAATTGTTTTCGGGCCTGGGAGGGCAAGTTGCAATGCAGCATACCACATTCACATCCACACTCTGTCCATATTGACTTTGTCTCAACAAAGTTTCTCTCATTCAAAAATGGGAGCAACTTCTTGATGCAGGAGAACAAGATTTGCAAGTATCCTGCACAAAAAAGTATGGATTAGGCAAAAAAGATGACTCACAGATGGAAGAGCAATTTTTTACTCAAAAAGAATTCATTAAATAACAGGGGAATTGAGATTTGAGAGGCATGACAAAAAAAAAGCAAAAATAGGAAAGCTTATCTTATACTGATTACCAACTGGTTCGTGTAATAGTTAAAAATTTAACATTTCTTCACTGCACTGATTGCCATAAACCCCACCAACCTTTTTCCAAGAAATTTAACATTTTTTCACTGCACTGTTTTTCATAGAATTTTCAACACTGTAATTTTAGTTTCAACCTCATTCTTAGTCACTACACATTTTCAAGTATGCAGGTTTACTATTATGCATGAAAACCATAATACTTTGACGAAGAGGCCTTCCACATGTAGAAAGGACTTGGCATGTTCCAAGTTGGTATTATGAGTGCATTTGTTAATAAAAATACAAAAGAAATTCTACTGCATTAACTATTTACATGACCATTCTATTATTGATGCTATTGTGTGTTTAGAATGAGTAAGGCTTGAGGCTTTTTAAATCCTCAAACTGAGAAGCAACTTAGTTTCGAACCTCTTCACCTTCCACTGCCTCTGTTGTTAATTACAGTTGTAAGGCATTCGCTGTTGATAATACTTTTCTTTTCTAACTACTTGTCAACAGTTAATGAAAAAGAAAACAGAGAGAATTTGACCAATCCAATTATAAAGAGGACAAATCAACATTCAAGATGTAGAGGAATGAATTCTTCACTGGAGGTGCCAGCAACTAACAAGCACTGATTATATACATGGTGTTAGTGTACTCTGATGATTCATAAAAATATAAATCCAAGGATATGAATTACACCAAAATATAAAATTTATCTCAATAAGCTAATGCCAATTAAAGTAAAGTGAGACCTGCCCCTCCTTTACTGTATTTCTGTTAAGCAGTAACATTAATCAGTATAACACAAGGAATAAAGCATAACTTGGAGCTAAGCAGTATTGTAGCAGACTAACAGTCAAATTCCACCAATTAAAACAGAGCTATACCACGTGGGTTCATAAAATTTTTAAAATGCAAAAAAAGATGAGCCCATTATTTATTTATTTATTTATTTATTTATTATTATTATTATGTGTGTGTGAGTAAACAGAAAAAAAAATAAAAATTACTACATATTTAGTTACCCAATGATGCTAACTAAGCTTTTATACATGCCTAGTTGAAAGCATGTGACTTGCTCGTAAAGATGCATTTAATAGATTTACCTTTTGTTAAATAGATTTATTAACTTTTGAATGTCAGTGAAAAAAAAAAAAAAAATGGGGAGGGAATTAGCACGATCAAATTACCCCAAAAAGGTTTTCAAATCCAATGAGAGAGACTGACCAGAAGTATACACAGAATAATAAAAAAGACGGGAAGAATATTGATTGCTCAGGTAAAAGGTACTTTACATCTCCTAACAGCATAAAAAGCAAAACAAGAAATGAGGGATATAAAATCCACACCACTATGTCAGGAATCCCAATAAATAGAATGAACATAAATCTTACTTCAACTTCATATATACATGCAGTTAAGAAAGTAGCAAAACCATGAGAAACAGATACCTCTATGCAAGATGGAGAAGCCTGCTTAGATTTAATTGTTCGAGATCTCCTAACAGAAATAACACAGATCAGATATAAAAAATTAGGGGTTGTTCTCTTCGTGTTTCAATTTTTGTGTTTTGAGCTTTGAATTCATTTTGGGTTTTGTGTTTTGAATGTGTTTTGAAATTGTTGAAAATACGTTCTTTTTGTCATTTTGAAAAAATGTTTCCTAAAACATAAAATTAAAAAGGCGTTTACATTTTCCTTCTTCTGGTTTCTTGCCAAGGGCGATTCCTCCATTTTTGGCCGTCTTCTTCTACCTCAAACCCCTCACCTCCCTCTACAACTTCCGACGATTAATTGACCAAGAACCTGCTAAAAACAGCCCCAACCAACCTCACTACCACTCACAATTTCAGCCTTATTAACACCACTGCCGGCCACCTTTCCGATCGCGAACCACCACCAATCCACTCCTCTCAACAAGGCGCATCCAATACTACCATGGGTCACCTAACCGATGGTGCTGCGCGACCTTGGACGTCGCCGGAGGTGAAGATTCTGGCAGAAGCAGTTTGCACCAGATCAATTTTTGAGGAAGATTTTTTTTCCGATTTTGGTATATGTTTTGGTTGTTGTTTGTGTGGTAATTGAAGGGGGGGGATTGAGGGCTTCACAATGGTATGTAAATTCGGTGGTTTTGGAGGAAGTTGGCAGAAGTTTAGAGGGTTGGAAAGTAGGGGCTCCATTGCTGTGGCAGAAGAAAGTTCGGGGAAGTGGAAATGGGCGTTTTCCGTGTTTTCATTTGAGTGTGGGTTTGGCTTGAAAACACTCAAAACAGCAAAAATGCCGTTTTGAGTTTTCAGTGCAATTTTTTTTTTTTTTTTTTTTTTAAAAATTTATTTTTGA